CGCTGTTTTCCTCAGCCATCCAATGATTATATTCACGAGCACCACCTTCGAACAAACTTGCCCAACGCTGCCGCTTTTGTTCGAGGCGGCCCCGTAACTCTTGTAGCGGACCTCCCACGGCCCAGTGAGTTGTAATTATAGTAAGATGTCGTAGAAAGTCGGCTCCGCAAAATGCGGATATCCATTGCGTAGTGAATGGATCTATTGGAGTCTCCCTTCTGCGAGTAATGTCTACCACATACCACAGACCTATGGCTCTTGCACGAAACTTGAAGGCGCAAATCATGTGCGTAAGTTCCAGGAGCACCTCGGATGCGGTTTGGAAGTCATCGAAGCCAGGAGTGTCAACGAAGAAGTATTCGGAGCCTGCGCATTGGCGCGAGCTAACTCGCACCCTGTCGTGACTACAGCGTTTAGCACGCGCCTGACAGGCAAGGTGCGGACATAACATACCAGCGTTTAGGCCACCACCTGATCTACCCCTTGTGCCTGTAACATCCTCAATCAAGGATGATTTACCAACCCCGGAACTCCCAACAACAAATACGATGGTGGCTGGGTCGATAGGAGGACTACGTTCGCTTTTAGCGTAGTATCCACCTAAGCTAGTGATTGAATTGTTTCTTACCGTTGGCAGACATGTCGCAGAAGAGTGCGCGTTTCGTCACGACTTCTATCGAGATCGCCCTGCGTTGGGTCAGCGTTAGCCATATCGAGTAGCTTGCCTATGCCAAAACTACTGTGAAATGCAGGATTGAATTGTAGAAAGTAGAATAGAATGTTGGGTAAAAGTCCTGTTGATACCTGAAGAGCGGGGTAGGACATATCATGTACGGAAAATAGTTTGATCGGAGCCTAGTCCGTATTCTATATTCGACCGCGCCCAGGATCCCATTTAACAAATGCCTCCCTGCATGGGCATGTCTCCACTTCTCGCCCACAGTACTAATCCGCGACCCCCATGTGGTGGTATGGGACTAAGCCTTGATCAGAAGCATACGTTTCCCGCTCGCCTGCTAGCATAATGCTGGACGCACCCAAGGAAAAAGCAAAAATTGTGGTGGGCAAGGATTGACCCCAATCTATAATTAACATGGATAGGGCCCGCTGGATACTAGCTCTCGGGCGATCTTGTTTTCAAAACGCGGAACGCGTTAACGCGTGACGCGTCGCTGGGCGCATGAACCCTTTAATTATTTTTATCATATCCTCATTAGGCAAACTTGTCTTTTCTGTCACCGTGTGGACACTACGCAACAGTCAGTTGGACAGGAAAGAATTCTATGCCAATACTATCGTGGCCGATTTTGATTTCATTTATTATAACCCAACTTTCCACGTTGTCATCTGCAAACTTTGCGAAACCTGTCTCCAGACTACGATCTATCGACATGTACGACAGAAGCACAAGAGGAGCATTGTATGCACCTCATCTGCACTGCGGCAGTATGAAGCGTCCTTTACTAAGTACAATGCTGTTCTGCAACCCGCGAACATTCGAATGATTCAACCTCTTTCAGGCACAGGACGCCTTGAGTTTCTGAAGCTCTGGCAGAACTGCATGCTCTGTCTATGTCGCAAGCAGAGTAAGACATTTGCATGCCGCTGTGAGAAACATATGGAGCGTCATCTACAGGAGACACATCAATTCAAAAATACGCGGGGACGCGGCCGACCGTCGTCAACTTCCATCAAAGGGCCAAAAGTAGACTACTGGGTACAAGAGAACGCTGTCATGGCTCCGGTCAGCTGCCAGTCTTTCTACTCTACTGGGCCTTATGTTCGATATTTTCCAGTGGTAGTGGGATCTCCCAGTACGCAAAACACCAAAGCCGCACCGCACTCTAGGTCCCTCTCTCTAGACCTCCGTCAGCAAGTTAATCTTGCTTTGGAAGAGGAGGCAAGAGTGGAAAGCTACACGGGCAAGGAATTCAGGTGTACGATACCAGCAACCTCAGAGCAAACCAGATGGATACAACTCACTGAATGGACACGATATCTTCAAAACCACTCGCTTGCCGATGCTGTTCGGCTTATTGATTTGCCAAGGCGTGCGATAAACTCGTCATCGGGGTGTGCCGAGCTGAACGATCTAGAAACGGTGCACTATGACACCGATGCTGTCCTTGGCACTATCATTGAAGCAGTTAAGCGGGTTGTTCAGCGCGCTAGGCAATCCCTTAAAGACGGCAAGCTGAACACGTTTGACTATCATCAGCTCAACTCGTTTATCCCTAACGACCGGCCAGAAAACCATTTTTCCACCAACTCAAAGAAGCCTCATATGCGCGATATGTAAGAGTTTTCTGTGGACTTGTTTGTTTTGTCTATCGACGAGCGTGGCTGAAGCTTGGCCCTAGTCTGCATTATTGCCTTACCGACCCCCAATCGAAGGCATTAGCCGACGTCGTCCATGCCGCGGCAGAGTATCATGCCACAGCTAAAGAAATGGTCATAGCGGATCATGTTCAGGAGACGGAAAGGCGCCTTGACGATCGGTGCCTGATGCTCTGCACTTCGCTTTTAGACCACCGTCTCTACGGCGATATGTATGATAGCTTGGCTGTCGGCTTCGTTGCTGTCTTGGGCATTCGGGTATCCCATGAGGGCAAACCCCTAAAGCGGCCACGACTAGCGGATGCACCAGAATTCACGCCGTATCTTTCAGCCTTCATTAAAGTTTCACGCTGCTTGTGGCTGAGCGCGCCCTGCTTGCAGTGGAGCGTGCTGAGGCGGACTACCCAGCGGACGCACTCGATGATATGCAGCAGCGATTATGGTCAATGATACTCGTTCGCCAATGTGTTGGGTGCGCAAATTGCGTGCATATGGCAAAGCAGTCAAGGACACAACTACCTCTCTTTGTCAGATCAGCTGGTCAGATGACGGTGAAGTGCTAAGCTACCAGTCCATGACCCTAAGCATGGCTCAGCTTCGCAATGTCGTATTCATTCAGCTTAGTGCTGCTCAGAGAGAGCTCGAAAAGCTCATGTTTGTGCATTCCGATGAGAAAACGGCCGATATCGTTCCGCTGCTCAGCTTACGGTCACTCCAAGACAATCCGGCCGAGTCTGCTCCTGCGTGGAGTTTTCTTTGCCATAAATCGAACACTTCTCTGCATGGAGACGAACGTTGGCTTCTAGACCGGGTGCTTAACACACCTTGGCTCCGGAACGACTTTTTCCAATCTGCAAGGCAAGCCAAGTCTGTAGTCGTGGACTACTTGACAACCGTTGAGAGTTTCCTCGAAAGCATTTTGTTGCTCGTTCATATCACTAGTGTCCAGCCTGCGAGGGGCACTGAGCTGCCGTCAGTCCAGTATAAGAACTCGGAGAATGGACAAGGTCGCAGAACCATTTTTCTCGAGAACGGCCTGGTTAGTTTTGTCACGTTCTACCACAACGGCTACAGCATTTCTGGATCTACGAGCATTATCCATCGATATTTGCCGATTGAGGTTGGAGAACTATTTGTTTACTTAGTTTGGCTCGTTGCTCCGTTTGTAAAGCAACTGGTAAAGCTAGCAAAACCGCCGAGGGCCACCACGTTGAACACGTCATTTGTATGGGGAGAACTGTCCTTGAAATCCAGTCGCCAGGTGAAGAATGATGAGAATAATCCAAAGGCGGATGAGCATGGCCGTCTAGGCGACTTTCTAAGGTACTTGAGGATGTGTTTCAAAAGCTTGCATTAACCAAGGTCAACATACAGACTTGGCGGCACGCCGCGATTGCAATCTCGCGACGCCACCTACAGCAGGCCAGGTTCAAAAGAGACTTCATCGAGGCAATGAGCTGGGCATGGAATGACAAAATGGCATGTCACGGAGGTACAACTGCTGCCCTGATATACGCTCGAGGCCTAGAGGAGGCACCTGACCACGTGGCAGAAGCGAAAGCAGAGTACCGGCGCATAAGCCGACAATGGCATGCGTGGCTAGGATTTGGGGGTTATCACGCAGGACCTAAGGGTTAGTTTAAGAATTTATGACGGTTTGAGATGGCCGCTCGAAGACTGGCCTTGAATGAATCAAATCGGGAATGAGTCTAGTTATTCACCCGTATAGGCTCACAACCAGACAGGTACTAAGAATTGTACAACTTTATCCCTATCTTGGATTCTTTCCCGATCCTCATGAACTGTTACTACCTCTTAGCCCCAATTGTTATTCTTCGACTTCAACTACAAATTGACTGGTAGACGAGGCTGCCGAATAACGGGACACGAGGTTTGTGACGAACGCCTATGCCGTCAGGCTACGGAGCAACATATCAGGGCATTGAGAGCAGTTTCAGTACCCAATGTAGGCGCAATAGCGTATATAAAGCGTAGAGCAGGGCCACAATCTGTGGCTGTTACAATGTAACGGTCCAAGCTAAGTATATTGACGACGTAACTGGGTGACTACGAGTATCGCAAAGCTAAAGAAGAAGGAGAAAACAGGGAAGGAGAGCTCTGCTCCGGAGCTCGTTGTGTCTACTCTCGCTTGCTGGCTGACCACGACCAGAATGGCCGGGATCATGGCGAGAGCGCCCACCGAGACTCATTCGGGCTCAGCCCGTTATACAATTGGCTAATTTAGCCTTACTGTTATTTTTTTTTTATTTACAGTATTATATATAATTAGTGGTTTAATAGTAAAATATAAAAAAGATGGCTATGGTTTTTAAGAGGATATTAAGAGTTATCTTATACAGTACCGTACCAAGGAGATGTTTATCAAAGAGATGTAATCGTTTAAATATAGTGATAGATTAATTATATCACGTAGAAGACGGCGACTATGAGGATGACGGTAGCACGTACCAGGACAAGGAAGAAGATATGACGAAGAAGCACGAACCAATCGCGCCTGCTTAGTCGACATTTGTGACGCACCATCCGGCCGCTCATCGCTCGTCAGCTGCTTACACGCCGCACTACCCAGTCTTGGCGTTTCCAAGGACCACCTCCAGCGGTTCGCGCATGAAATCGAGACCGAAACGAGTCAACGCGTTGGGTTACACCAACGCCCGGCACGCCACTGTTGTAGGCGGCATGAGAGGCGGATGACCTGGGTGCCCGGCTGCTCCAACACGCTGATGCGCGCGCAGGTTAGAAAAGACGGAGCCTGATGGAGTGCATGTGGTGGAGGAAGAGTTGATGTATGTGGTTTGGAGGACGGTCCACGGGCTGCGGTAGGTGTTTTGGTGGTAGAACTTGGTGGACACGAGGAGCGCGTTGTGGTGCGCGATTAGGCGCTTGGTTTGCTGGTCCGGGTTGAGCGAGAGGTTGGTGAGTTTATACAGATCGGGATTCTGTCAGTCTTTTTACATCTACCAAGAGCGAGCAACAGGATATCCCTTCCCAAAGGAAAAAAATACAGGTAAAAAGATATACCTTGGTATTGTACAGTTCAGCATCGCCCGTGCACCACTTTAAATACAGCCGCGACTCATCGTCGCCCAGGACCCTCAGCGTCTTGTAACTGTTCAGAATGGTGCCCTCGTAGCCCGATAGCTCCATGCCGGGACCGCGGACGATGAAAGGTAAGGCGGTGCCTTCATCGTAAGGAAAGATCATGCCGGCGGGGACGCGCGCGCTGGTTGATGTGGTAGCCATTATCAGCGCTGTAGAATTGAACGCAGCATCAACTGCCATTGGACGAAATGTAGACTGTTTATTAATAACAGCATTATAGAAAGTAAAGGTCCCTCTCGGGCAAGCATTCACAGACATAGCAGGATGAGAATTGTTGTTCGGCTATTGTCTAGCTTCCTAAGTTGGCTATCAAAATCCGGACAGACGAGAAAAAAAGTACACAGGCCCATTCATATGATGATGCCAGTACTCCGGATAATGCTCCCGTAAAAAAGTACCGCAACATCGTATTGACAGCAAGTGAGGCGTCTCTCTCTTTTAGTGGTCGCGATGAGCGGGATATCCAACGCCCCTCATCATCGTGCTTGACGTAGTAATTATCTAGGTTGTGCAACACATGCTCAGCACTCAGATTGTCTCTTGTCGCACACATCATAAGGGCCTTGAGGGCCCTGTGATTGCCCTTCCGGCAAAGTCGCCCACATTCACCCTGTATGCCTACACAGCAATACCGAAGGGCACGGCTGGCATAGCAGGCTCGGTCAAGTGCAGACCCCCAAGGATAGCCTTGGCGATCGTCAAGTCGAGCGCCCGCACTCACTAGTTTCTGGACTACATATCTCCTTTCTCGAATGCCAAACAGGCCACTGAAACCGATGAAAAAAAGGGCATTCAGCGGCGAAAAAGTGCACCCATCACGGTACTCTGCCGAATCTATACTTGCACCGCCACTGATAAGTGCGTCAATAACGAAGACCGGCGCTCGGCACAAGGCCGCGAACAGCAAGGGAGTACAACGCCAGTTCTGCAGAATTGCCAGTTCTCTGTCGTCAAGCAAAGGGCTGAGGTCCCGTATATCATAGGACGCGCATTGTGAACGGCTATTTGTACGCTCGCCCCTTCTGATCAATGTTTGGATCACAGCGGCGGCCATTCTGTTGCTAGTTGCCCGCTTGCATCCCACTATTGCAAAGTATAGCAGGGGGATGGCATCGACGGGCTTACTTCTCAAGTTGCGGTCGCACTTCAGGAGTGCACGTGCAAATTGCATATTTCCAAGGTACAGTGCATGTTGCAGCGGCGAGAGGAGAAAGCCCTTCTCCGTAGAGCCCGGCTGTCTGCACCCATCAATTGGCACGCCATGGCGAACTAATACACGTATGACCTTCGATGCGTTCTTCACTGCGAAATTCCCGCAAGCAAAGTGAAGGGCATTTTGGGGCCGCAGAAGAGCACTGTTCTGGGCGATGAGCGGATAACTCATCAGCACTCGAAGGCAGCCAACATTGTGAGTTGCTGCCGCTCGATAAAGGTCTTGGCGGTCATCGTCTGACATGTTGTTCAGGTGCCTGTACGTTAGTTGAGCTAGGTCCAAAACTTCGCGAAGCATCTCCGTCCTCCCCATATCTGATAATATCCCGATGACCTGCCCGAAGCCGGCAGCTTTTCTCAGATAGGTATAAGAGTTCTGATAACGATAAAGAAGTGGAAGCATGCCATCATTGTCACTTTTAGCGGCTAGTTGAAATGACTGCATGGTTACCGCACGTCGCGTACCAAGACGCTGCAAAATCAAAACCACGGTTGGAATATCGCCACTCAGCACAGCGAGAGACAAAGCATCATAGTTTTCCCACAGATCGCTCCAAGTTAGCTCATCATCATACTGAGGGAGAGCGATCCGCACTAAATCAGGTCGCCCAATCCAAGCAGAATAGGCAAGAGGTGACAGCGGAGTTTCGTAAAATCTGTGCTTGGCGCCACTGCATAACAATTCCAAAGTTCGGAGCTTATGCTGCGCCGTTTGCGCGACACCATGCACATACGGCACCAAAGTTCTACTCTGCTGGTTGCGGCCACCTTCTACCACTTTTGGAGACTGTGCAAGGAGACGTCGCATACGGTCCGACGCAGCAGGTTGAGGCATCCTGGGCTGACGAATTACGTTATAGGCAAGAGCAGTTCTTCCTGGACGCACCAAGAAACCGCCTTTTGCTATAATCATTTCTGCTATGCGAAAGTCCCCATGCGTTGCTTCCCTGTCGAGTGCCAATAACAATGGGAAATGCAAGTGGTAGATTGCGTGAGTGGCATCTGAGCGGGTACCGGTTGATGATTCAGACACTGTTCGCGTCCGCGCCGTTCCCGCGGTTCCTGTTCGCACGGTTCGCGCTGTTCGCGCCGTTCGCGCCGTTCGCCCACTTGTTGACTCGGAAGAGGAATAAAAATAGGAATCAGAATCAGAACCAGATGAAATTTCATCATAATCTGGGATGTTTGGATACGGTTCAGTGTCGGAATCATCGGAATCATCTTGATAGCCTCCAGCGTATTGATCGAGATTTATAAATGCAGGCCTGGTGGCCAACCTTCTCCGATGCCGGTACGTCGCGAGGACTGGCGTGTGAATATCATAGCCGTTGTTGAGTAGGTAATCAGCCATTTCCTGTTGCTGGCCGATTATTGCATAGTATAGCGTCTTATAAACCTCTCTGCCATCATGGTCGTCCAACGTCTGCGCAGCAAGCTCTCTTGGGGGTCCCGTCACGCTGGCACCATAATGCACAGCTCTTTGCACAGTCCCCAGTCGACCCTTCCGTGACGCCCACAGTAGGCATGATGTTTTGGTCGAGCTAAATTTTTGCTGGCGGATTTCCGTCTCGTATAGAATCCGATTACAGACGATATATAGGGAGCTGCACGTAACCGCCAGTCGATTTAGTTGTTGGACGGATAATGAGGCCGCAATGATAGTAACGACCTCGGCTGGAAGCTTTTCTAAGGCCATTGTAGACGCATCTTTTGTAAGAGCTAAAGCACTCGAAATGAATACTCTGGATCGAGCAGTTGTACTGCCACCGATCGTGAAGTAAAAAAGAGAAGCTAGAAAAAGAAAGTCTACTTACCCCGCACGTACTGCGCGTGGCTGCCCAATCACACGCTTGGCGTGTCACAAGGCTAGCATTTCCCGTGCGCAAGGGGGGCACTGGGCTGAAGAGTAGTAACTAGTAGCTGTAGATAATCGTGATCCTACTAGCACAGAGAAATTGACATCCGAGTCAACTTACAATTGGAAATGGCCCCCTGTATTTTTGCTGTGGAGACTTTTAGCCGTACCAAAACAAATGACACCGGGGGCCAGTTCATTTCAGCATGATGTGTTAGCTTATTACCCTCCCTTAATATATTCACTAAGGGTCACATAGGCATATATAGCCGGCGTAGTGTGCTAGTGCCTCGATCCTCTCGTCGGGTGTTCTTCTGTTTGGCCGCCACCTTTTCAGCTCTTCCTTCTCTCGTAGCGGATATGTCGATAGCAGCTCTGCCGTCGTGCGAAGCTCATCGCCCTTGAACCAGTGCGGCTTCCTCCTAAGGTGGTCTTCTCAGGCCTTGGGACCGCCGGGCGCAAGGCAAGTGCCGCACTTCTTGCAGATTACTACACGGTGCTCCGCGTTATACTGGAAATCGGGGGCACCCATCACGCATAGGACACGTTGCCACCGTCTACTTGTTCTTGTCACTCTTAGGTAGGGGGGAGGCGACAATAGAGAAGCAGCACCGGTCCTTCTACGTCGAAGTACGGTTGAGGATATGTACAATAAAACGAATAGCAGTCACACTACCCCACCCCATGTGCTACTATGGAGGTCTGGATGAGAATCTTTCTGGTCTTTGGCACTGCCTCCAGGGGTATACGGACCGGTGCCACCGTACACAACCACGACTGTCCTTTGCCTTTCGTACGTATAAATGTGGTGGGCAGGATGAGGCCTGCCGGCCTTTTTCTCCTCAAACCAGCCAATCACGCTCATCCCTTTCATGCGAAATAATTTCTCATCCCCTGCTAAAAACCCCTAGGTACCATGTCAATCACCGTCGTGTAACACCGCCACCAAATTACGCTGCTAGGGGTACCTGCGCACCAGGAATTGGCCAAGCTTTGTTTTCATTTTTGATGCAAGCGACACTCCTCTTGGCTAGTAAAGGACCCAATTTATTGAGGCCAATATTGATGGGTCCATGACTGGCACCGCGCCCAAAGCTTGGAGCGGCACAGGGCGTCCTGAATATGAGCGGACGTACACCTCACTGTAAGACACACTGCTCCTTTCGATACGGCCCGTTGGTACAATGCGGCCCATCAGCGCGCTCTACTAGAACTTATTCTTGGCCTCGGAGAAGTTTACATCGGGTATGGCCTTAATTTGCGTCGTTTAAGAGCTAGACACCGTCGTTGACGTCAACTATGAACTCAGATGACCGAGAAGCCCCAGCTCTCATCAGCCATCCCAAATGGACATAAGCAATATAACAGTTGCTACCATCTAACTGACGAGGACACAAATCTCCTATTTCCGGTTCCGCTTATTGACCGAACTATTTCATATAGATCAGGCTCCCGGGAGGAACATGTATTGAGGGCTGGAACTACACCGCCTCTAACAATGCATTTGAGCCTTAGTAGGTCAGGTTCTATTGCTTATTCGTTGCATGCGGCGTCGGAGTCGTATACTTTGCTCATTGCTTACGCATCGCTCTTTTGACACGAAACTCGATACTCTTTCATGCAACCCGATTAACGTTGGCCTTTTCCACATTATTGTTATGTGCAATCGTCTTCATCAAGTCTCTCCCAGAGCCGCGCCACCGCATATTTATATGCATGAACTCCTTACAGGCGTCAGGCGCCCTATTTACATCCATTGAGCCGGTATGTCTTGGCGTTCTTCTACTGTACGATACCTAACCATTATCCTTTAGGTTATGTTGAGCCGTCTGCTTTTCAAAACGTCCAGTCATATCGAGGGAAGTTTGTTGTTTGGGTCAGCGAACTCTCCACGCCAGCGCTCTTCGGGGTGGGCGCTTGGCAGTATGTTACTATTGATTCACAATGGCTGCTGTGGTTATTCATGATAACACTGAATGCAGAGCCGAGTCTTGTTTCCCTTGGACTTGGTAGCAAGCTATGGGAGAGTCGAAAACAGACTCTAGAGCGGCTTCTCGTGACTGAAGCTTGGGTAGTCGCTCCTGTTCTCCTGGCAATTATTGCAGCAGCCATCGCTTCCAATTTCCGAGCCGAGCACCTGATTTTCTTGGTTTCCGATTTTTCATTCAAGATTTCCTAGCTTTGTTCCCGAACCAGCAGCGCCAGAACGATTCCAGGGAGAACCAGCAGCGCCCGAATAATTCCAGGGAGAGCCTAGTTTCGAACGAAAGGGCAGCACAAGAGCTACCGAACACTGAATCCCAGCTAGCTCATCTTGGCCTTTTTCCGTGACCCGCTGGCGATGTCAAGAGCGGGAGTAGCTAGAAAAAACGCATCAGCCAGACCGATTGCGCCCAAAAGCATCGATTACTGCGATTGAGGCTGGTCGAAAATCGTTGCGCTAAAAACGACAATAGGTCGAGGGGAAGACGGACGGTCAGAACTTGATGAGGCGCTACTAACGACACTCTCCCGCTAACCAAGGTTGAGGCTGCCCGAAAATTGCTGCCCTCACAAGAGACAATAGGTCGAGAGAAGGTGGACGGACAAAACTTGACGGACAGAACTTGACGGGCAAAACGTGACGGACAGAACTTGACGAACAGAACTGACGAACCAGGCACAATACTAAGAACACTCCCTCCCTTCATCGAAAAAGAACGAAAGCGGACGATGTCATCCCACGGGTGAGGGCGCCAGTGAGGAAATGGACGAACCAACTACGTGGAGCATGTTGGGAGAGCCTTTTCCAGCGCGGCGTACAAACATTTGTCAAAGTAGTGGTCGCTTGCAAAGCTCTATATTAACGGCCAGAGCACAATGGACGCAAAATTTATTATCCTATGTTTGTCGAATCCATGAGCGGGCAGTATGGGCCGTTCAACCTTTGCGTGGTCGGAAATGGCTGCCGTCGCACTGCGCCGCTGCCGCGCCTCCACTAACCTCGCACCAGAATATGCTTCGTCCGTCGACTATGCGAGGATTGGAAAATGCTAGAAAATGAAGCCAAAGCTCAATTTTATGGTTGCAGAAGCCCAGTGCCACTCCTTCAGATCTCGCGTCGAAAATGGCATCCCCCGGTGCTGATCGGCCCGCCGAGGGCGCTGAACAATGGTGCAGCCATCGACGAGCTCCATTCCACCGTTTTCGGGAAGACTGGTCGTATATTCGGGCATGGGCATTGGAACACAGTCAATGCAAGGCTCGAGTACGGGCAGCTGCTGCGCGGCAAGAAGCGCTACGAGCAGGCTGAGTCGCTGTACAGGACTTTCATCGACGAGATGGACCGGGATGGCGGGCCGGAGTCGGTGGCGGTGCTCTGCATCTTCAACGCGCTCGGTACGGTGTACGCAAAACGCCAGAAGCTGAAGGAGGCGGAGGCTATCCTCGTTCGCGCCGTGGCCGGCTTCCGCACACAGAGTGGTGATAGGGACGAGAGAACGCTGACCGCAGCATTCAACCTCGGTGGTGTGTACCAGGATCGCGAAAAGCTCTGCTGTGCGATCAGCATGTACCACGGGGCCGCGTACGTTTTTAAAGACGTGATGGGCATCTCTGACAAAACAACGATCGCGGCCTTTACGTCGCTCGCGGCATTGTGCTCTGCTGGCCGCGCCCTGCCGGAGGCGGAGGAGGCGTACAACCTCGCACTGCGGGGGCTGGAAGAGGCTGCAAGACAGAGTTCTATGGACGATCTCATCCTGAAACTTGACCTGGGCGTTTTATATCGTGATGTTGGAAGACTAGGGGCTGCAGAGAAGCTCACACGCGAGGTCTATCAAGGGCTCAAGGATGCTCGTTCCGGCCATGCGGCCGCCGCGCTCACCTGCCTCGGCACCGTGTACGCGCGCCAGGGACGAGCCGCGGAAGCGGAGACGAGTTTATCCGATGCTCTCAAAGATTTCGCTACATGCGAGACCGAGTACTCTGCGACGGCGTACGCAGCCTCTTTCAGCCTCGATAATCTTCTCCGCAGCCATCGCCGGCTGGCGGAGGCTGAAGCGATGTACCAGCGGGCCTGGAGCAGCGCACGGTCGGTCGGAGGGCTGCAACACGCCACATCTTGTACGGTGGCCGACGCTTTGAGCTCTTTGTATAAGGAATAGGACAAGTACGAGGAGGCCGAGGAGGTGTACAAGCCCTCACGCTAGGAGAGTTCCGTCTTGATCGGTGGACAAGTTTTGTCCTGAGAGTCAACCTCCACAAGATGACAGGGTACATAAGAAGCTAGTAGTCTCTTTCTCGGAATAATATGCATTACATGCCAAAAACTAGTACTTCCTTTTACATACTGTGCATACGGAAAGTGTGATTATGTCAATCCGTCGACCTTGGGCGAAATGGTTGCAACGCTATTGCTTCCAACCACTCTGTCGACTTGCACAGGCTGGACGCATCCCGGATTTATTGGGCAGTATCTTGTATGTATGGCCAGGACTGACGCTTCGTATATGTGCTCAGCCGCAGGAGTCTGGTGAGTCTCGTTCCCAGTAGATTTTGCGCACATCTCGACGTGGCCAAATCCGTAATGGTGTGGTATTATGGCGAAGCTGGACTGCGCAGCGTTGCTAGGTACGATTCAGACTCGTCGCCCGGCGCGTTTCAGCGTTAAGACGTGACAAAGCGGACCCGAGGACCATCTACGAGCGCCAGGGCACGCCGCGATCCCTGGCAGCAAAGTCGCTGGCTGGCTTGCGAAAGCCGCTCTCTCCTAGAATTCTGACCAAAAAAGCCATCCGGCGCCTAGCAAAGACGAAGTAGAAGAGGGAATGCGGCGTTGGCGGCAATTTAGCGCCCATGAAAGCTCATGATGTGTAGACTTCGGCGATCCCCTCGCAGGGCGCCGGCGGAACTACACCAACTGATAGCGACCAAAAGCGGTATAGGCGTCTTGAGGTACTCCAAAATCTCAAGGCCATAATGTGTTTGCACTTGTGCATATGAGAGCAGCAACAAGCCGCAGCAACAAGCTCACACCGTTACCATTTCCAATAAACGCCCCTCTAGCACCTCAGCTTTACCAAGACTTCTTTCAGTTTCCATCAACTTCAAAATTTGCGGCCCGTACAGCGGATGCTGAGCGAGACACGGCTGTGCGAAGCAAACACGAGTCGATGAGGTGCCAGGCTTGAAGAGACGGCCGCCTCAATCTCGGAACCGTGCAGGCGGTGCACTTGTAATGCAGTCACCCGTAGCAAACTCCGAGTACCTCCCGTCGGTGAAGACCGACCATGCAGCATCGCCCCCTTTTCAATCTCCTTTTAAAAACAAGTCCTGGCATGTCGGTGGCTGGCTCATGTGTCGAAGGCATCAACAAACTCACCGGGTGTTCCAGATTGCAAAGCAGAGCTCTGGAAATGGATACTTCAACAATCGCAGCCGTGGTCTTCGGTACCATTTCTCTTGCAATCGGACTCATCGGACTCTACCTCGCCTTCACACAACTACAAGTTTCGCTTCTTCAAATCTCCTTGCGTAGCATGGTAGATTCACCCGGAATCTGGCGGGTTGCTGGCAGATAAATACAACTAACCACAAATGTATAGATTATACGCCAACAAGTCGAGAGCGACGACCCTGGTGAAGGACAGCAGAGCCACGAGCTGGCAACAACGGCCGATTGAGGAAGGCTTCTGTGAGGAACTGTCAGCATGGGCCAGCTGTCACACCAACCAATACCGCAATCGAAGCCCGCTCTGCCAATTGCTAAAAATGAAGCTGCTCAATATATCAGCGGTACATGATCCTCATCGCTTGTCTACCGGTATGCCCACGCGCTCTGGGCTGACGCAACTCCTTTCTTGGGACATGATCGCAGCTTCTCTCGACCTGTACCAAAATACAGGCTCGCTAGCTTAGAGCGTGGAGAGCTATTAAGTGTGAGAGAAGCCGCTTCTGCCTTAATGCGCTGTCACCTTTTCGAACACGGCTGGAAGCTAGTACAATAGGAATTACGCAGACGGCAAGGTCCTGGGTGCGGAATAGGTTGATCGACAGTGCAGATTCGTTGGTTGATGTGTCTGGAGAAGTTGGGAATAGCATCGGGAAAGGACGACATGGAGTAGCCCACATAGAGCGTTATCATGTGAGCACTAATTCAACCATTTCAACTCAACGTCCATCAACTCAATTCGGGCTCAAGGTGGTTCATCTCCACGGGCGACATGCTGAGTAATCCGTCAACACAACTCAATCATGATACAACATTGATGGAATTGAATTGATAGCCACCCTGGCTCTGGATCCGCCGCACGCAGTTCTCCAGAGCGTCCATGCAGTCGAGTTTCAGAAAAGTACAGAACTGCATGGTGGCGCGTATCGTTTCTGCTTCCTGAAGCCACCACGCTGTATTGTCGTGGCCTTTCTTACAATCGAGATTGAAAAGGGAAGCAGATCTGCGGAGTGACACGTCTTCTTGCACGTTATGTGACTTCGTCGCACATAACTATCTGGCAGGCAGCAGTATTTCCAGGGGTATCTAGTGCGTGATCGCCAAGCTTTTCAACAACAGCAGGAGAATGTTTCCTAGTGAAGCATAAAAGCCGAAATCATACTTCATCATGTATTGCCTATTCTCCTAGTCCTTTTCGCAGAATTCAAGTCGATGCCGCAGTTTTGTGGAGTAATGTACCTGCAACGCTCCTCGAGAGCGACGGCCAGGAAATTCCATACTGAAACATTCATATATTTTTTCCCATGTGAGCGTTGGGTCGGCCCTCAGTTTCTTGAGAAGTCGATCCTCGCAGGGGGTAAAGCTGATCCGTGCGCGGCGCATTTTTTTCGATTGGCAACTCACTGCTAGCTTTCGCGATCGGGCATTCTTCGATCTGCAGCCTGGAAAGTTGTAAAATGAGGCAAGCTCGAGTCCGTCTCGTTTTTCAGAAGTTTTCAATCGGGTGATTTTCTCTTCGTCCGTCGAGGCCAGGTTTTCATAGCTTCCGTAATCCTCAGGGTTGCCGACCGGCCTCAGCTCGATGACAATTTGCTGGCGCGTAGGCGGTATTGAAATGCAAAGTGGTTGCTCTTCAAATTGAAGGCAATCTGTCTCAGCATATTGCGCCCGTTCCAATTCGGCTGTCGTTTCTAGAGGATCGATCGTCTCTTCGCTTTTCATTGAATCCGTGTTGAACCGAGTAGGAAGTAGATAATAGGGTGCTCTGGGATCGGTCAAATGCATCGTTACGTCGTCTTCGATGTAGTTCTGTCCCGGTGAGATAGCTTGCGATAGCGGCCTCCCTGTTCGATCCATTATCCGGCCATCTTCCGGGTATAACCAGGGTGAGGAATCAATCCACCCACGTCCACGAGTGCTTGTCGT